TGGAGCTGGTGTGGGGCTGGGGGGGGTCTCACAGCCCGGGGGGGCTGGGGAAAGCCCTCCCGGGGGGAGCCCTGCAGAGTAGCACTGTGTACTCCCCCAGGCTGAGGGATCCCGGAGCCATGTCCCTTACGGACAGCATTGACGTTGACAGCAAATCCGAGAAGCCCGTGTCCCTGATCTGGGGTAAGGCACAGGGTCCCCCCAGCAGCATCCCCGCAGGGCTGGGGGCTGCACCGGGCTGCTCCCCCTCCCCTGTCCCCCCAGCTTGGAGCAGCCCTGCTCTGACACCTGCCTGTCTGCAGGATGCGAGCTGAGCAGCGAGCGGGACTCCTACACCTTCCAGGTGCCGGAGGAGTGGCAGTGCGAGCAGCAGCTGGCCCTGCGGACGGTAGGTGGTCCTAGTCTCCCCCAAACCGCCGGGGGTCCTCGAGCAAGGGGCGCCCAGATGCCATGGGGGTCACGGGGCGATGCTCTTCTCGTTCCCTAAAGATCTGCCTGGGGGAGATGGCGCGGGATGAGTTCCACGTGGTGGAGATCGTGTCAGCCGAGGAGGGCGATGCGAACTCCCCAGTGCCCCTCGCCACGCTGAAGCCCTCTGTGCTGCCCATGGTGAGTGCCCAGGGCAGGGGCTGCCCCAGGGAGGGGGCTGCTGCCGGTGGGTGCTGCCACCCTCCTCTCTTCCAGGCCACCCTGGTGGGAGTGGAGCTGACACCTCCGGTCACCTTCCACCTGAGAGCCGGCTCTGGCCCCGTCTACATCAGCGGGCAGCATGTCTCCAGTAAGTACTGGGGTACCACCGACCCCTGACCCCTCCCTGGGAGCGGGGGCTCAGCCAGCCTCTCCCGCAGTGATGCCCAACCTGTCCTGGGATGAGGAAGAAGAAGAGGAAGAGGAGGATGCCGAGGAAGAGGAGCCAGCAGAGGAGCTCCCTGAGAAGCCCCCCAAGGGCCAAGCTGCCAAGAAGGGCAGCGCTGCCAAGGTAAGCACCCCCTTGGCTGGGGATGCGGTGTGCGGAGGGGTCCCTGCGTCACGGGGAGGTCGGGGATGCAGCCTCCTCTGCTGGGAGCTTTCCCATGCCCTGATCCCAGGGATGGGCTGCTCCGCGCTCCCACCGAGCCCCAGCCCCAAACACCTCTCTGTAATGGCAGTGAGCCGTGACCTTCATCCCTTGGGGACGAAGAGTCACGGGCTCCGTAGCGAGTCCCCATCCCGCCTGCACGTGCCTGGCCCTGCCGTCTACATCTTCCTCTCTCTCCCCTAGAAGAGGAGGCTGGAGAAGGAGGATGAGCTGTGAGTATGATGGAGGGGAATGTATCCACAAGCCCTGCCATGGAGCAGGGGATCCCCCACGCTGCTGGGACCCCGCACCCATAATCCCAGCCCTCCCCTTCTCTCCCAAGCAGGAACAACATCTCCCCCGAGGATCCCCTTCCCAGCAAGGTAGGAGCCAGCCAGGGTGTCCCTCTGCATCTCCCACTTACCCCATCGCAGCCAGGCATGTGGGTTAACACTTGTGGGTCAGGACTGGGAGCTCTTGGGGAGGGAAAGGGGCTGATGTGTGATGCTAATGGGCTGTTGAGCTCAAAAATGGGGGAGAAACACAGGGCCAGGCTGTCCTGGCTGGCTGCGCCCAGTCTGGGGGCTCCCTGCGCTCAGCCACGGCCCCGTCCCCGCAGGGGCGAGGAGCCGGCCGGGGTAGGAAGGCAGCGGTGAAGAAGTAGCAGGAGCTGCGGCGGAGCCTGGCCAGGTACGGGGCAGCGGGATGGGGTTAGCTGGGTGCGAGGGTCCCTACAGGACTGGGAGGGGGCCCGTGCGTGCCCCCCGTCTCGTGGCTGAGTGGGGCTGGGGAGGACCTGGCCCCAAAGCAGGGTCAGCCTGGGATGCCTGCGTGTAAGACCCTTTCTCCTTCCCTTCAGGTGCAGAAGAGCCTGGACAGGAGCTGGTTTGGTGTTGTCCTTCCCCAATAAAGGATATTTTGCACTCCTGGCTCTCAGTGCAGGAGATGGAGGGGTTGGGGGGGGGGGGGGCATCCTCCATCCCTGCCAGGGGATGCTCCTGCCCCCCCC